AGGTTGAGAAGTTAGAGGGTTGATACGCTGTGGGGTTATTAACCAATGTTATAAAACAACATGTGTACTTCTGTTTCATGAGAAACTATTTGTCCTGTAAGCCTCACCTGAAGTACAATTAAAAAAAAAAAAAAAAAGGCTCAACAAAGAAGGCAGGGATGGGAAATTAAAAAAAATAATAATAATAAAGATCCAGTTGATAACTATAAAAAAAAAATAGTACGATTTTCCACTCTGGAAAACTGTTTGGCAGTATGTTCTAAAATATACCTATGATCCAGCAATTCCACTCACAGGTGTATACCTAAGAGAAATAAATGCATAACTCCAGCAAAAGACATATACAAGAATGTTCACATCAGCTTTATTCAGAATAGTCCCAAACTGGAAATAACCCAAATGTTCACCAACATGTTGTTAGGCACCGTCAAGTCAGTTCTGACTCATAGCGACCCTATGTACAACAGAATGAAACACTGCCCGGTCCTGTATCATCTTCACAACCTTTGCTATGCTTAAGCCCATTGTTGCAGCCACTGTGTCAATACATCTGAGGATCTTCCTCTTTTTCGCTGACCCTCCACTCTACCAAGCATGATTTCCTTCTCCAGGGACTGGTCCTTCCTGATAACATGTTCAAAGTATGTGAGACAAAGTCTCACCCTCCTTGCTTCCAAGGAGCATTCTGGCTATACTTCTTCCAAGACAGATTTCTTCATTCTTCTGGAGGTTCATAGTATATTCAATATTCTTCACTAACACCATAAAAGGTATCAATTCTTCTTCTGTCTTCCTTGTTCACTGTCCAGCTTTCACAAGCATATGAGGTGACTGAAAACAGTACGGTTGGGTCAGGCGTACCTTAGTCCTCAAAGTGACATCCTTGCTTTAACACTTTCAAGGTCTTTTGCAGCACATTTGCCCAGTGCAATAGGCCATCTGATTTCTTGACTGCTGCTTCCCTGAGCATTGACTGTGGGTCCATGTAAAATGAAATCAACATACAAACAATAAATGAACTGTGGTGCAGTGAAACCTGAGAGCCAGAAATTGACAGGATTGCCTTGTTTTTCCAGGTCTCATAAGTTTTCCACCTTTGACGGGGTACAGTCTTACCACTTTTCCATCAGTCATTTTAGTAGAACATATTAGAGTTTTCTAACAGGTTTCCACCTTACACAGGCTCCAGCTTTCACAGGTTTTACAGTATATTCTGACAACGGAATATTATATGGCAGTATAAAAGAACAAACTACTGCTGGATGGATCAACAACATGGATAAATCTTAGACACTATGTTGAGCAAAAGAAGCCAGACAGAAGAATGTATACTGTATGATTCCATTTATATAAAGCTCAAGAACAGGCAAAACTAAGTCATAGTGAAAAGAAATCAGAATAGTGGCACTTTGGTGAAAAGGGGGTATTGACTACAAAGGGGCATGAGGATGTCCTTTGGCTGCTGGAAAGATTCTGTATCTTGATCTGGGTGGTCTTTATATGGGTGATTGGTAAAGCAGAAGGTCAGTGAAAAAGAGGAAGACCCTCAAGGAGATGGACTGACACAGTGGCTGCAATAATGGGCTAAAACACAGCAATGATTGTGAGGATGGCACAGGACTGGGCAGTGTTTCATTCTGTTGTACTTAGATAGGGTGGCTATCAGTCAGAACCAACTCAACAGCACCCAAAAACAACAACATGAATATGTAAAAATTCATCAAGCTGTACATTTAAAATCAAAGCACTTTATTTCATGTGTGTTATACGTAAAGCAACTAAAATTTTTTTAAAAGTATACATATGCACACACATACATATAATACATGGCACACAATTTAAAAGGTGAAAAAGGATCTAGGAAAAAAGTAATCTCTCATCCTACCCTCCAAATATCTAGTTCCCTTCCACAGAGGCATTAATATTGCCAGTTTCTAGCCTATCATTGCAGAGATTAATGAATATTATTAAAAGGACATTTTCATAGCACAAAGATCAACATTCATTCAAAGACATGAGTTCAAAAGGCTACACATGCATAAAAAGCAAAGTAAATAACTGCAATGGCTATCACTTACAGGACCCTTTCTAACTGCCTGGTACTGCTAAACCTTTTACACGTTATTTTACTTAATCCTCAGAACAACCCTAGGAAGTAAATAATATTGCCTATTTTAAAAATAAGGAAACTGAAACTTACAAAGGTTAAGTTTCTTGCCTGACAGGTCCTGGACATAAGCTCAAAAACATCTCTAGGTGACTATGTTTTACAATTCATTTCTGAATAATATGGTCAAAGTTTTAGGAGCAATTACTAATACAGCTCAAAATCAAGTACTAACTAGCAGTTTCTCTACCAGAGTTGAAAGCACAAAGACATAAATTCTTTCATTTTCGATTTTAATGATTATGTATTTTAATGTGTTAGAAAACATCAAACCCATGTTTTCATGGGTTAGTACTCAAAAGAAGGCTAAATTCAAAAAGTGAATCAACTTAAAATAAATTTAACAACAAATATTAACTGAAGGATAGTATGGACAGGCAGATATAGCCAAAACCACAAGGACAGTCCCCAAATGACTTTAGTCTGGGAAGCACTGGACACTGCAGACAAAATGACTGACTGCCAGACTCTGCCCTTTAAAAACCAAGAAAACCAGCGGCTGTCAACGCGACTCCAACTCATGGCAACCGCATGGTATAAGGGTAAAACTGTGCTCCATAGGGTTTTTAGTGGCTGATTTTTCAGAAGCAGACTGCCAGGCCTTTCTCCTGATGAGGCTTTGGGCGGACTCCAACCACCAACCTTTCAGTTAGCAGCCAAGTGTGTTAACCTCTTGCGCCACCCAGGGACTCCAAAAGCCACAGGAATTGCTCTTCACTTTTTATATTTACAACCTATGACAGCAACAAAAGGGTCCTTGCCACTTTTAACTTTTGCAGACCATTAGAAAACAAGCTATAAACACAGGTTAAATGTCACACCATCATTGTAATAAATGTACTAATGTTTTTCCTTCCCATTGTTGCCTATAGGGCCACCATGAGTCAGAATCAACTTGACCACAACAGGTTTGGTTTTTTGTTTGTTTGGATCCCTGTGAATAATCTCTTAGGGTTCTTACTGCCACAGCAGTAGGTGAATCCAAGACCTGAAAACCTTC